AATGTCACAGAACAATCTGTCTAAAAATTATTAAATGAAAACCCAATTTACTGTGTAAACTTTCACCTAAAACACAATAAAATATAATTTTTAAAGACCCCACAACCCCACGGAACACAGTTTTACTTTGACACATCGAAGTTTGCCATGAGTTGTCTTCAACTCAATTGGAACTGATTTTTGGTTTAATGGTGCTTTATGGCAACATCTGAAAATCGTGGTGTAGCCTTGTAGGATCAGCACTGGACTGCGAATCCCAAGGCCAGCAGTACAAACCATTAGCTGCTCCTCAGAAACCCTACATGGGGTTGCTATGTGTCGGAACCGACTCCACAGCGTTTAACAACAACATGGTGGCAATTTAAGAAAAGAGGACTTGGTATAAGCAAGAAAGGTTTCAGAAGCTGTAAGTGACCCTGAGTGCCTAGGACAAAGGTGTGGTGAACAAGGTGAGGTTGGTAGAGTTGGGTGGTAAAGGTTAGAAAGGCCGAGGAGAAGCTAGAAGGCCCAGCACTGAAGGAATACAAGGGACTTGCAGTTCATAATGACTTGTTGGAGACGGCAAGGTGCACAGAATCATGTGATGGGGGTGAGGATAGGAGAAGTGGGAGAATTTGGTTGGGGCAGCTGAAGCACCCACAGGTGACAACTGGTGAAGCCATTAAGAGTGATGTCCCCTGCCCAGGGAGAGGGTATAGAGACTAAGAAGAGAGCCAGCTATAGGTGAACCCTATAAGAAACCCCAAAATTCTAGGGGTGAACTGTGAAGGGCAGCCAGAGTGGAAAGAGAACCACACTGTAACTTCCTTCTTACAGAAAGACCTTCTTCTCCACCCTCCACTTACCTAAACACCAGGCTGAGGCCCCGTTCCCAGGCCTCCTCCTGGGTACTCTTCAGAATCCACATTTGCTATTGGTGACCATCTCAGGTGTGGGAGTGTTGGCCTCTAGTATCACTTAAGGGCAGGGCCTGGTTTGGGGTCACCTCTGTGCCCCCCACAGCACAGCCCCAGGCATGGACATACTGAAGGTGCTCAAGGGCTTTGTGGGGTGATGGGCTCTGGCAAAGGGACTTAGCTGACCCAGTACCAGCCACCCCACCAGCATCCACACCTCCACCAGCCCCCAACTCATGTTGACACAGGATGGCACAAAAGTATCATGGCCACAACTCTGCCACCTGAATCCAGACAGTGAGGCCAAGTCTTAGGAATTGTCATACTGGAAACTCGTGGGACCCCACCAAATGGGCACGTCCACAACGCATGGACCCAATGAACCAGAGCTCGAGGGCTGCTGCCTTGCAGTGACCTTGGGCAAGTCATTTAACCTCTCAGAGCTTGCAGTTTTTCAGAAGATCCTAGTGAGTATTCCGTGGCATTCCCTTAAACGCTCAGCATTGTGCCTGGCACCTAGCTAATAAACATTCCATCAACGGTAGCTATTATTATTATTAAACAGTTTGCTGGCGTGCTGAAGCAAGTTGAAGCCGACTGAACCGACTTCCACAGTTCTCTAATGTAACACCTACCGTCCCCACCCCTCCTCTGCCACTACCACCCTGGAGTTAATTAGAACCTTCCTTGGGTATTTTCCAGAGACGGGACTTTACACTTATTCTGGCTTACAGTATAAGAACAAATGGAGGCAGGCTTTAGTTCAACTGAGAAAAAGCTGCTTGAAGAGGTCATGAGCTCCCCACCACCTCCTGTGTCCAGACCTCCCTGATGACCACCTGGCAGTCGTGTCCCCGATGATAAATCTAACAGTCAGAAGATTTCTTGGTATGCAATCTGGTAGCATATTGGTTACGAATTGGGCTGTGAACCGCAAGGTCAGCAGTTCAAAACTACCAGCTGTTCCGTGGGAGAAAGAGGAGGTTTTCTGCTCCCGTAAAGATTTACAGCCTTGGAAATCCTGTTCAGGATTGCTATGGGTCAGAACCGACTCCATGGCATTTAACAATAACAACTGTATTATAACTCCTTGTAATGAAATTAGGGGCAATGCTTTGTGTCATTATTTGGCAAAATAAAAAGTTGGCAATCCAAGTTGGCCCTCCAAAAAGTTCTGAAATTGTACCAGTTTGTGACAATCCAAAATCTTAAGAACCCAGACTTTATAGAGGGAACCCCTACCTGGAGGGCAGAGGAAGGTCAGAAATAACAGCCCCCCTTCTGGATCTAAAGTTTCCAGACTTCCCAAGATAGGCACTTGTTTTTGGACCCCCAAGCTTCACCTCTTGCGCAAGATTTCCTGAATCTGAAATAGGCCTGTTTCTATTCAGGTCAGATCATTGAACAAATATCCAAGGTCGCTGACACAGGGGCTGTAGTGAAGAGGTGCAAACATCTCGTGCCACGTGAACAGAGAGCACTGTTGGTTGTTCAATAGTGGGACTTGGGACTCGGTGCCCTCCACTCTTAGGTCTACTTCCACTCTCAAAAGGACCTGTTAAGAATTCTTAGGAGGGGCCCAGGGGAGACCCTTCTGTTGATCAGCCAACATTTAATCCCCACCTCCTAAAATAAGAGGCAGTGCCTTCCTCTCCTTCAGGGATTCAGCCTTCAAGGAACCGCCTTGGAACGCAGCCTGTAAATGACGCCCTCTCTGGGAGACGCATGGCATTGCAGGCTCAGGATCTGATGCCAACAAAAAGGTTAGTAAAATGGGTCCAGGTTCTTGGGACTACCACCCCATCCTCTTCCCCAATTCAGCCCTCTTCCCAATCATCCTAAGTGAAATTCCCTTTTCTCAATTCTTCAAGCTTTCCTAATCAATAGCCCAATTGCCATCGATTCGGACTCACAGCTCCAATAGCATTTTCTTGACTGTAATCTTCATGAAAGCCAATGGCCAAGACTTTCTTCTAGCATCACTGATGGGTTTGAACTGCCAACATTTAGTTGTATTGCCTGCCTTGAATTCTGACTCACAGCAATGACAGTAACTAAATGACAGTAACTGTCCCTAGGATGTATTCTTTACAGACCTTTTCTCCCAGGGATACCGTGGTTAAGTTTGAACTACTGATCTTTTGGTTACCAGCCAAATGCTTATTCCCTCTGCCACCAGGGTTCCTTTTCAGCTGAGTTGCTTTTGTTGTATGCCCTTGAGTTAGTTTTGACTTGACTCACAGTGACCCTGTATAGGGTTTCCGAGGAGCAGCTGGTGAGCTTGAACCACCAATCTTGCAGTTCAAATGGCTTTACAGTCTGGCACATTAACCCACAGCATCACACCAGGACTCCTTTATTACAGTAGTCCAGCACAAAAACCATGTGTACCACCTCCCAAGGTTCCCTAAAATTGTCCATTACAAATTCAGGACACCAGATGGCTATACCCTATGGGAAAATGGTTAATTCTGTTTATAGTTACAGATCTTACTAGAATATGGGGATCGTTCTAGATGCATCTGTTTTTTGAGTCTCAACATATACCTCCCATGGCTCACCTCCCCCACTAAACCCTGGGCTAGAGACAACTCAACTGAATTCTGATGACTGTTCCTCCCAACCCCCTCCCCCAACCAGAAGAAGGAGCTGGAGGACAACGTGGAATCAAGTGTACATTTTAAAAATTGTTTAATGGAACATAAACTCCTTTAGAAAAACATTCAGCTAGGTGATAACACCCATAGAAAAAAACACCAATCTTGTGTTTATCTTTTTTTTTTAATTTGGCATTTGTTATTTGCATTTATATTAAAGCAAAGTGCATCTTTCTTTTTCTTGTTTATACACATTGCACAATACATAAATAATGATGCTTATAAAACGTCTTTATATTTACAAGTAATAATATATTTATATATAACATAAAATACATTTTTTCTTTTAATAAATCTCAGGTTTTTTATGGTTTGTTTTGTTTTGTTTTGTTTTGAGGAGTCCTTTCTCTCTCAAAGCACTACAATGCTAAATTTCCAATGAGAATGCTTCTCTTGTTCATTTAAACTTTTGTAGTTAGAAAAATAGCTTATGTTAAAGTCTAAACATGCTCATTGAGCTAAGAACAGTGTCAAAGTATCATACGAGTGTATGAGTTTATAGAAGAAATGAAGGAACGGTTAGGTATCAGTCTAGAAGGGTACCTTAGGTTATGATAAACCAAATCCTTGGTGGGAAAAGGGGGTGCTGCTGAGGTGTCCTGCCCAGCCATATTCCCCCATTGCTGGTCTAACAGCAGCGCTCAACACACAGAGGAGGCTAGGGAGGGGACAAAAGTGCTGAGCTGGCTTCTGAGTCTGGGGAAAAACCTGGTGTCACTGGGGCAGGAAAGAGAAGAGCCCAGAGGGTGAACAATACTGTGGTGGTGGGCAGCCCCTTCTCAGAGAAATATCCAGGAGCAAATGGTAGCAGGAGGGGAGTAAGACAGGGATGAAAACAATCGGTTCTGGTTCAGACTGTAGCAGGGTTGCTTCTAAGAAGCCTGTGGATAGGCCCATGTCCTAGGAGGGGAGAGAATGGTGGGGGGTAGGGGCTTCCCCAGGCAGGGACAGAGCCTGGCTTCTGGCAGCTGCTGTGACATCCGCTGCCAGCTTGCCCAAGTACTGACTCTGCCCCCACTGAGCATGTCCAAAGGGCAAGAGAGACGCAGCTTGGGACCACAAACTGCTCAGCTGGGAACATTCGTTAGAAGAAAAAAAAAAACCAACCACATCATAACTCCCCCACCCCACTGGCCACTCTCTCTCTCACACACACACAACACACCTGGACTCACATGCTCGTTGCTACACGTACAAGTGAAATGTCGTTAAAGGGACTGCTCCCCATTCATACAATGTTTGGTGGTGGTTTGATTTCACGTTCCCTTTCATATTGGGGTGTCCTGCTAACCATACCCCCCCCAAAAGACCCAACAATTCTTTTCATAAGCTATTTCTCAAAGAACACAACAAAACAGAACATAAACAAGAACACGGGAAGATGGGGAACAACCAAAGAGTTTGCATGAAAAGCAAGCACTCAGGAGGAAAATATTAGCAGCAAAGTAGTTTGAATTGTGGCCTGCTCGGCTCACGCTCTGTCCTCTGCCCACGTGGCTACCGGCTGTTAAAGATGACCTCCAGCCAGCACGGGCAGCTGCTGATGAACTGGCGGGTGTAGCACTGGCCCCAGCCCTTCACGAAGCTGATCTGCACGGTGAAACCAGTCCACGGCTGCTGCATGAACTCGTGGTCGTTGGGCCGCTGCAAGCTGTATGCTTTCTCATAGTCAAACGCCTTGATGGAGAAACCGGGGAACACCTTGTGTACCAACAGCGTCCTGGAGTCTGGGTTGTCCAGTGTGGCTGACTTGATGAAGATGGGGTAACTGCTGCGGTTGTACACCCACACGCCATCCACTTCCCGAGTAAGCTGGATGCCACAGCCGATTTTGCTCCGCACTTTCTGCACCAGCTGACTCTTGTTGTCCGAATTGAGCTGTCCAAGGCAAAAGCCATTCCCCTGAGGTAGATCATAGAAGATGTCCAGAGAGGGTTCCTGGACACAGTAGAGCCTCCCTACTCTCGTCTTCTCCTCCCAGTATGCCACCACGCACCAGTGTGACCGATCCCCAGGCTCCAGAAGAAGTTGGGAATCTGTAAAACAAAATGGCGGACATAGTTGGTGGAGAAGGGGATTGGCCATTTCCTTGGCCTTCTGGAAATCAAGATATATACATGTACACCCATAGCCAGCTCATCTCAGCAGACACAAAAGTCATGGTAATGCTAGATCATGCTGCCGCTGATATCCTGTTCCCACAAGGCTCGCTGGGCCCCGCTTCCTTCCATTCCACCCATCCTGTCTGGGACCCGGAATACCAGCCCACTGGGCCACAGGAAGCTCCGTTTCAGTAGACCATCAAAGCCAAGGCACCCTGGATGACTTGGCTGGCCCAGATGACAGATCTTAAGCATGGATGGAAAACCCTGAAGGTCTCTTGTCATCCTGACCAGAAACCTGGGACCCTGAAAGCCTGTTATGAGGGAACCGGGTGATGATACAGACAAATCCAGGACACCAGGCTTCAGATCCATCTACTCTATGTATGGTCTCTTATGTGTGTCACCCAGTCCCAAGCCAGTGCTTTGATTGTGTACAAATATGGGGTGTTAGGAGACAAAACACCTATCTTCTTAATAGAAAAACAAGCCTCAGTATATGTCAGCAGCAACTCCATACACAAAGAGTGAATTCATGTCAAAATGCCAAATCTCGACATGTAGGTTGGTATTAACCCAGACGACCTTAACAGCTTCCTCCAGCGCAGTATCTAATGTGGACTCGAGCATCCTTGAAGTCTCCTCACTGCCAGCCTCCCGGCCCCAGAAGCATCTAGACTTTGTACAGGATGCTGTTCTTTCCTTGTGCCCTCCCCCATCCCGGGAAGTCCCGCCCCAGCTTTCCTAGACATGACTCTTCCTCCAGGAGACTGGGGCAACTCTGGCAAGGTCATTTTCTCAACCAGGCCCTCCAGGTCTTTACAAGGGGGTCATGTGGCGCGTGAGGGAGCCCTGGTGGCTGTCACCGCAACTCCTCCTTAAGCTGGAGCTGGCGCGGTAGGCCTCAGACAGAGAGCCATAAATCTCCCCAGCCCAGCCGGGCTGCAGGAACGCTGTGGTTTGTGGTGGCAGGGTGGAGACCGGAAGTCTTGTATTTGTTAACAAAAATGGGGGAAAAAAAGAGGGGAAGGAACGCAGTGGCGGAGGCCTCATCCTGCCTCCCTTGTGGCCCTGTGTTCGCTCTGGTGGGTTGGGGGGCTAGGGGGAACACACAAGGGTGGGGCTGAGTGTTAAATGTTGTCTGGTTTGTTTGGCTTCTTTGTTTTTGCAACAACCAGACAAAGAGAGTTGGTGGTAATGGTGGGGTGGACCCGAGGGGCCCCATGTCCTGCTGCCCGGGCAGGCTGGGTAACCCAGCCTACCAACTCCTTCCAACTTTGACAGACATGTTGGAACCTGGAAGGCAGACAGGCAGCTCCATTAATTTTTTTTTTTTTTTAAAGCCGCCAGCCTTAGACTGAAGTGTCCTGTGAGTGAGGTTGTAACAAAACACACACTGCTGCTGAGTGAGCCATGCCTACCAATGAGGCAGCAACACACACACACACACACACACACACACACACACACACACACTGAGGGACTGTCCTCCCTGACAGCCCAACGGCCTTCTCACATGGCTGCCCCAGACAGCTACACAAAAGGAGGAGCTTAGGGCTCATTCCGTTCCCCCAATCCCCAGCTCACTGAAAACCAACACCACAAAACTGGCCTGCCACCCCCTATTGTACCATAAAGTACGTGTGTGAGCTGGTGGGTGTGTCATGTCAGTGGGTGCATGTAACTTTTTGTATACATGTGCGCGCACACACACACGCATATACACACAGAAACATATGGATAAACAAAGAGGGCCGTGAGCCTCCAAGCAGAAGGTGACTCATCAGGGAATAACTTGTTTCTGCAAAGTATCCATCAACTGCTAATAAACTCGTGAGCACTGGCAATCTTTGAACTTTCTGCAGAGGGAGTTCAGTTCTGAAGACAACACACCACAGACCCACAACACCCATGGAAACAGGAAGCGTTCCTTGTGGGGAACACATCTTCTGGAAGGCACCCCTGTTTCGGGGGAGAAGGAGGGTGTTTTGAAATGTAAGAACACCTCAATTCAACAACAACCCTGGGCCTGGGAGTCACTGGGAGGGAGTGCGGAGGGAGGCTCAGGAGACCCTCAGGGGAGCCTCACAATACTTTGTTTCATGAGACAGCCCTGCTGAAACCTGGCACCACTGGCTGGAAGGAGGAGGTAGAGGTTCGGGCTGGGGGTAGGACTGGGCCTGAGGTCTCACCCCAGTGGTGGGGTGAGGAGAAGAAGGGGAAGTGTTCTGAAGGGTTTCTCTTTCATCTGTGGAGCCCGCCAGTCCACCCAGCAATTTGCTGCCAGACATCCCCTGGAAAAAGCTTTTTTCTGTTGCAGTTAATGGCCCAGCCCAGATAAAGGGCAATGTGTGGGTGTCTCTATATATGAATAAGGCCCCCTAAAAGTCCTCCCAGTGCCCAAACCTGCCAAAGCAAGAACCCCTGCCTGCTTAACACCCCTTCCCACTGACTCACATGCCCCTACTGTCACCCAGCAGGTGCCCACCCCTACCCTGAAATAGTAGCTTCACCTTCCACTACCTTGTGAGAACTAACACATTCTCGGAGCACCAGTGGAGCATCCATCACACCTGTGACCACCCAGACCACACTGTCAGTAGAGACCCCCTACTTTGGCCAAATTCCCCCCGACACTTGGGCCTATTTCTGGGAACCACTCAACATCACTTTCAGAGAAAGGGAGTTCCCTGAATTGGGCCCAGAGCCCACAGGAGCCTCCCCACAGAGCTCTGAGAAAACACTTAGCTCCTACGGGGTACCACACAGTAAAGTCTCAGTAATGATGAGAACAGATGTTAGAAAGAGGGTCCCTGAGGGTACCAACAGTTACTGTGCTCAGAGGCTAACTTACTGAAGGTTGGAGGCTTAATGCTCAGAGGTAACCCAGAAGAAAGGTCATTTCTGAAAAATCCAGTCACAGAAAACACAATGGGCACAGGTCTACTCTGACACACAGAGGGTCACCAGGAGCCAGAGTTGGCTTAATGGCGACTGGTCTTTTTTAGTTAGCAAGAGTTACAGAAGTCCAACTTTTTTGGCTTATCATTGTTGCGGACATTTAACCTTTGTGAGTTAAGGGGGGGGAAAAAAACCCAGTCAATTACTAATTTATTTCGACTTTATAACTTTCCCCAGTATTTCAAACAGTTTCTCCTCCTCCCCAGAAAAATATACAAGGCCTTGGTTTTAAGCTGTATGTGTTCATTTTAAGGAATCCTAAAGAAAAGCTGTGTTGTAAAATGTGAACTAATCAAATGCCTGCTTAACTTTTTTTTTTTTTTTTTTTTACCTTTTTATTAGTTTAGGGAATTTTTGGAGCAACACCAAAAACTGCTGAATCTGCCTAAAACTCCTTTAAGGTGTTTTTCCCCCCTCTTCCCTTAAAGCATAAAATCTACCCTTTGAAGGTGTTGAGAAGGGGAAGGGTATGAGAAGACCACTTAAAACAAGGAGCCCGCTGCCTCATGAAGAATCGTGAATGAACAGACCAGACCCTTACAGAAGACCTGAGGCTCATGAATAAATCCCTCTCTAGGGTCTCAGTGGTACAGATGACTAGAACCTCAAGGCTACATTTTAGGACTTTTTCCCCTTTTTTCCATTTGAAGATGTGAAGAAAGATGAGGAAAAGGGACAACTTGGAGGAGGGGAAAGAAAGGTCAAGTTAGTGTCTCATTGGAGCCATTTCCCCAGCTTATGAAGCCCACCATGTAACCAGAGAGTGGGATTCTGAGGACAGGGACGTGTATGAGATTGGACCCAGCTGGGCCTGGCTTTGTCCACACACAGAAAGGTGGTGCTGGTAGGAAGAAGGGGGGGAGCGGGGGATCCCTGAGACTCTGACCCTTCAGGACAGTGGTGGTTATATGCCATGGAGTCGGTTCCGACTCACAGCGACCCTTTACGGGGTTTCTGAGGCTGTGAATCTTTTATGGGAGCAGAAAGCCTCATCTTTCTCCCAAGGACAGCTGGTAGTTTCGAACTGACCATGAGACTAGCAGCCCGATGTGTCAGGGGGGCTGAGGTAAAAGATGGGAGAGGAAGGGGTCTCAACCACTTTCATCTGTGAAACACTTGGATTTATGAAGGCCTATTTCTCTGACTGAACAAAAGGCTGTGGATGGGGGAGTTAGGGAGAAGGTGGGAAACTGGGCAAAAATGGTCTCATGATGATCAGGGCAAAGGAAGGGCAGGAGGTGTAGCCACAGAAGGCTTAACCCAACAATCCTGAAACACAAAAATCGCTGCACCTTGCCAGCAGGCCCAGGGTCCTCCCCTCCCCAGGACCTAGACTCCACCAACAGTTGCCTCATCTTGCCCTTCCTCCTACCTCAGACATCTCAAAGGTTAACAACACCGTCTGGCTCTCCACCCTGCTCAGGAAACTGTCTGTTCTAACATCAGCCCAGTCATTGAGATAAAAGAAGCCCAGTGCCAACATATCCAAAAAAAAAAAAAAAAAATCTCAACTAGCAAGGATCCTTGTTGGGTGCTTGCTTTTAAGAGGTCTGCTAGAATCTTCCATGCTTACATCCAGAACACTTCGAATTATCTCAGGGCTCTACCAGGTTCCTTAAGCAACTAGAGGGCAGATAGCTCTGGAGTTAACAGCAAGTTAGCCATCAAGGAATGAAAACAACTAAAATGTTTCAGGTTAACCCTTGGTTACCCAGAAAACGCTCAGACCCAACCCATCCATCAGTACCATGGATCAGAGAATTAATTCTGTCCGATGGAAAATTGGACTGAGAAAGTTGGATTCTTTTCATAGCTCTACAACATTTCCGCTGAGGTGGCTAAACTTGGGGATGTGGGTCGAGGTGCGCCTTAGGAGCTCTTGCAAAGACTGGCAGTGTTCCCTCTGATAGGTGGGCACAGACATGGCACACCACCTGAGGTGAGCCGAGAGGGGTAGTCAGACACATCACTAT